ATGTATGTTATGTGTGTAATATGTTACTAATATATGCAAGTAATAGTACAAATCAAAACATTTCATTTGTTTTCCTACAAATGTTTCTAACAAAAATGCATGTCATGTTTTAAAATGAACGAAATACACACTAACATAACTAACATGACTACACTTGAATAAACACACACATACACAGATTATGTGCTAGAACTTGAATAGACTTTTATCCGATCCGGTGCAAGGCACGGGTAAAAATACAAGTTGAATCATAAGGAACTACCAGAATCTATAGTACTTGTACCAATCAGGGAGCCCCTCCGGGCCATGCTCCTTCAAGTACTCGTAGCTTGCTCCTCCAGATGACTCGCTCTTGCTGGTGCTCTCGCCCTCCTTCAACCTCTCCCACTCCTTCTCTCTCTCCCTCTCACTCCCGCTGTCACTGTCGCTGCTCTCGCTACGATGGTTGTCTATGCGAGCACATAGACAACCATAATAAAAACAGTCAACTGGATTTTGTGGCAGTGGCGGATCCAGGAAAATAAGGTACTGGGGGCAGATTATATTAATAAAGCAAAGGAGATGAAATTTGAACCACGTCACATTTTTTATATTGAACTGCATTTTTAACACTAAAATTGGTTGAACGTGGTGAAGTTGATAAAATTTTGATTGGAACGACTGAATTTCTTGAATCTGATAAATTATGAATTGAAAAACTTGCATTTTAAATATATTTTATACAAAAACCGAGGTAATGTTATATGAAAAATTGCTAAATAGATCTGTTTAGCAAAAAAGTGATTGATTCATCAAACTCTAAATGTACTTTTTATTATTAAACAATTCAAGGCGTGATTTAATTTTATTTTATTAACCGTTCGGAAAACAAATATTTATGTCCAACGGTCCGGATTCATTCTCATTTCTCTCCTGGAAGTCCGTTCTTATTGGTGGAACCACTCCCTTGTGTTGAGTATCTAATTAATTGAACTAGTATGTCACATCCAAGGGTAACTATTTCAATACAAAAAAAATTGTAATTTTATATTTTTGTACTTATTTATTATAAGAATTTCGAACTACCTAATTTCTATAAAAGAACAATCATCCTATATATCCATGCACAAGAAACCTCATATAACTTCTTCTGTATGCAGCCTGCTATATCAGATCGATGCAGTAGGCCGGCTACGATCGATATAAGTTTAATTTATCGATGATGGCTATATACAGAGTATATATATATACTCGTACATAAAGTCATAAACTACACTGCATCGCTAGCTTCTTCATATCGCCGTACCGTGTCAATCATGCATATACTCCGTATATACCAATGCGCTCACGTAACCAAACATTTTTTTTAACTTTTTGACTTAAATGTCATGGTAGATGTTACTTTAAGAGAAATTTATCGGGATATGACTAAAACATACGTAGTATTGAGTTTCCTTAAATATGACAAGTTATGTTTTTAGACATTTATATGACCAAAAAGCAAAAATTAAAAGAGAAATTCGTTCATATTAAAGTGTTTAATGATCAAAGCACCCTTATTTAAAAAATGTGCATTATACACTATTTTTGTCCAATTAAAAATAATGCACTTTATACTGCATTTACTGCACAACATTATTGCACAACATTATTGCAGAATTGATGATAATTAGTGCACTTCCAGCCAACATTAATTCACTTCTTATCCACTTTAGGAATTTATTTATAATTGTTTTTATTTATTTATTTATAATCCTTGCGTAGCCATTGCCTTCCGTCCCTGATTGAAGTCCCTCTTCGATTTCCATTGAAGTCCTCGGCACCCCTGCGCAGGTGCGAGGTCGTCGGCAACCTTCAGGCCGGCCATCGTGCGTGGGGTCTGTGATGATTCTCCTCTGATCCCCTCCAGGCGATGAAGGTGTTGGAGGTCAGGGAGGATCTCTTGGGCTGGTATAGGTCGGCTATGATTAGGGTATTAGGAGGTAAGAATTTTATAATAACTATCTAAGGGCATATTAATCTCTAGAAATTAATTAATTATTTAATTATTAATATATTAAATATTTAATACAAATTTTGATATTATTTTGATAAAAAAAGTCATAAAGTCATAGATTGAGAAACTAATAAAGTTTTAGTCATACCTAGGGTAATTATCTCTTACTTTAAGGATGTTTTTACTTGGACTGTAATTTGCTGGTCTGGTCTGATCTGGTCTGGTCTGGTCTGGTCTGAACTGGTCTGGTCTGATCTGATAAGGTCTGGTTTCTTTGTATTTTTATAACTATCCAAGTCTGGTCTGGTCTGAACTGGTCTGGTCTGGTCTGGTCTGGTCTGGTCTGGTCTGGGGCAAATTACAGTCCAAGTAAAAACATTCTAAGTACCTCACTATCAATTTGATGATGACGTTAGAGAAAATTATCCGACTAAAAGAACATGACATTTTTTTTTAGTTTTTGGCTCCATAAATTTTTAAGTAATTGTCCCAAATAGGACTAATACTAAACTTAAATGCACAAATAGGACCTTAAGTTTATAATTCCCTAAATAGGACTAAAGATTACAATTATACCCTCCTATATAATTAAATGACAACCGTATCCTTCTATCTATCGATCAATCATGCGGTTGCATCTTCGCTACTCATCCCTGCGCCTCACCACCGTTGCCTCTACTATTTAGCGTCGCCACCAGTTCGCCATAGCCACTACCACCTATATTTTCTGCCTACGCTGCCTCTGCCTCCACTATCATCGTCGATCCCATATTTCCAGGTATCTCCTCCTCCTCTTCCTCCGATCCCCCTCCTCCTCCTCCTCCTCCTCCTCATCATCATCATCATCATCATATTTTGGCTCAATGATTTTGGTAAAATGTATATGTAAGGGTTAGGAATATGTGATATCACTTTAGCAAAAAATAAAAAATAGTATGATATAAGTAATTGAAGGGGATGTTTGGAAAATCGTGTTTCATGATCAGTTAAAATAGCAGTTTTATCTTTTTTGGCAATTTTAATCAGTGGCACGCTGATCCATGTTGTTTGGTACATGGTTGTTTGACATGGCATTTTTTATCGGAAGATTCGGAACCGCTAAAATAGAAATGTCGCAAATAGCAGCGTTTCGATTTAACGTTTTGAAATATATGGCATTACCTACTAACAACTACGGTCAACAACAACATAACAAATATCTTTTGCAACCCACTATCTCATTCCCCTAGTCATTCCTTTTTTAAATTTCATATACCTTTTAATAATCCATATTAGTTTTTTAAAATAAACTTTGTATCTTATTAAATACTACCATCGTCTCATAAAACTTGGCCAACATTCCTTTTTGGAACCTTCCCAAAAAAATTGTCATTTCCATTTTAAATAACAAATGTGTGACTAAAGTTATTTCTCTCTCCTCTGCACAAATATCAATCACACATTTTTTACTTTCTTGATCTACGTGCAAATCAACTTTGGCTAAGTTTTATGGGATGGGGGGAGTATTAGTTATTTGTTTGTTTGCTTTGAGTTGGTGAGGAAAGTGATGGTTGCCATTATTCTTGTTTTCAAATAATCTTCAAAGTGGCCAGCTTTTAGTTGAATAAAGGTAATGAAATGAGTACTGAGCAAGGCTTTTCCAACTAATTACGTGTAATTGAGTATTTTTTTTAAAGAAAAAACTTATCAAAAGGGAAACTGTGGCAAACAGAACATTATTAAGTGATTATTTGTTACAATATTTAATTATTTATAGGTTTGGGTTATGTGATGAAGCTTGAATGAAGAAGTGTTGGATTGTAATTAGGAGTCTTTGGATGTGTATTCTATCTGTACGTGATTGATAAGTTCAAATTATCCAAGGTGGTGAGCCTGTCTCAATAGGCCAGATAAGATACATCTTTAATGTTATATTAGGCCTAAAATTGTAGTAGTGATAGTTAAGTAAAATCTACAAGTAATATTATACATTAAATGTGCATCAAGCATATATATGTAGGGGTGGGCATAAAAACCGCACCAAACCGGTACCGAACCGGCCCGTAATGGTACCGAACCGAATATCGGGTATTTAAATGGTTCTATAAAATTTTATCCCGAACAAAAACCGTACCGTTCTAGATTTTGAGAACCGAAAAATACCGGACCAAACCGTTCAAAAACAATATCTTTGAGAATTTTTTATATTTTTCCATACCCATAAATATCTTTTATAGATCAACAACTTTATAGCCCAAATATGTATTCATGCATCCCGGCCTAAAATAGCTAAGTGTGTGTTATATAAATATTATTATGTTTTCCTTTGAGATAATTAATTTATGTTATATTTGGTATATAATGAAAGAATGTCAAAGTTTTAAAAAACATTAATGACTATTAATTTCTAGTAATGTGTGTATATGACTTTTGTTGTATCATATTTGTGTAGTTTTATAACTCAATTAATACGGTTTGAATCATAGCTCTTACGGTTCAACTATGAACTACTCTGTGTATTAGAATTAATATTCAACTTAGAACAAAGAAGAACATTAAATATTTGTATTCTGTTTAATAATTTAACGATATTCTTTCTATATGTTCCCGTGAATTTAATAAAGATGATATTATACGATTGTATATTGTCATTTTGCTATACTTTTACTAAATTCCTTTCAGTGTTTGAGTGTTTTTGAATTTAAATACAAAAATGTCAACCTCTTGAATCTTTTTTAGTATTTAGTATGCACTTTCTTGTACTTTTATCAAAATTTCACGTCAATTGGCCCGTGTGATGATATCTACTAATTGCAAAATTTGTTCAAATGTTTCGGCATGTGTTTGGCATTGTATCGAACCGTTTTGTACCGTTCCGAAACGACATGGTACCGAATGGTTCTATCCTTTGAACCGGACCGTACCGAACCGTTAAAAACCTCACGGATACATTATGGGTTTTGCTAATTTACCGGACCGTTCCGGACTGCGCCCACCCCTATATATATGCATGCAAGGCATATTTATTAGTCCGGCTATCTAGTTGCAAAAACTATAGTATTATATAGGAAAATTGTCTTAAATATGAGTACAAACGTACTAAAATTTCAAAGCATAACTATTATGTTTTTCTTCTCGAAATAGAAGTCGTTACTGCCATGATTAAAAAGAAACTGTCATTAATGGCAATATTTGGCAGTAATAATTCCAAAGTGACACTAATATAAATATTGTCATGTTACTTCTATTTCAAAGAGATAAACATTATAATTCTGTTTTGAAATTTCAGAGATAAACAATTATATATCACTTTCAACGGGGAATATGGGATCCAGACCGGCAATACTCTCCATGTCAAGATCATAACTGAATATTCCTCCCATTGAAGAGCTGCGTGAAGCAGTATTATTATAGAAAATATTACCGCTGGTCGAAACCATAAGATCTTTCCATATACTTTTAGAGTCGTCTTCATCCAAGTTCTCATCATTAGAGAACTTAATAGGATGATAATGATGATCTCCAGCTGGTGATGATTTGCTCTCTCCAGATATCTCACTCTGTGATGTTTCTTCATCCTTCTTCACCAGAGTGATGAGTTCTTGCTGATGATGATTTGGATCACTAGTAGCCGTGCCGTGGACTTTCAGGCGTGGGACATTATGAGTAGCCTTTTGACGGCGGCGGTGGCGTTGATTATGATCGGTAGTAATAATAGCATTATTGTCTTCGTTGTTATTGCAAGTGTGGCGGCTGTAGTATGTGGATTGGTACATTCCATCGTGGGTTCTTTGGACTTGTTTTGTTGCTCTGCATCCCGCCACATACTTGTGGGTGCACCTAAAGTAGCACCTAATAATAATAAACCATTCAGATATTTAAGGGAATTAAGTCATCATTTTGTAATCACCCATATTCCCATATATATTTGATCAAACCAAACTCCACACACTGACACACATATCTAATTATGTACATTAGAAATTGCGAAAAAAGTACATGAAATTCCAAAGCTGAACTGCATTATATAAAATGTTATCTTAGCATTCTGACCATATTTTTTTTCAAAAAGTTAATTTATGGTGTCAAATGGCAAGTACACATTTTAAAATATTTTAACATTTGTGAGGATACAATTAATATTTAAAACTTTCATTGTGAAGTAAGTGATATTTCCCCGGGTGTATATAATTGCAACACTTTTAATTTGCTATTTTTCATCACATCATTTTCATTATTAACATATTTAATTGACTTTTAAATTATTTTCACGCTCTAATTTGACTTTATTTTATTCATTGATGTATTAAAACAAAACATTACAAATTGTCTCAAAGTTCTTATGCAAAACATTACAAAATTTTGTCTCAAAGTTCTTATGTAATTTTTACTAATAGTCGTTGTCAATAGTCAAAATCACAAATTGATAAATGCGTAGTATCAAATTAAAAGTGTTGCAATGATAAATAGACTAAGGAACTTTTAGTTATTTTACAAATAGAAGTGAAGAGTGTTAATTGCACTCTCATAAATGTTAAATGTATTTAAATTATTCATTTGACACCAATAATTTAGAAAGAAAAATTATATAATTATGGGGCTAACATAACTTTATTATACAATTTGAGGTATTTATATTACATACACAAATTTTGGTTATTTATCTCACACCCCTTCATCAAATTTGTGGTATTTGAATTATTTTTTCTTGTAAAATTATTTTTATCTCAAATTTAAAACAATCACAACTAGCTTAGTTGGAAAGGTGTTGATACTCAATAATAACTATATTTAAACTGACATTGCTTTTTTTTAAAAGTGAAATACGAATTGTTTCACTAATATGGAATATTGCTAGCTGTTTAAAATAGTTTATTGTTCTATATTTATATAATGACATTAAAATATCCTCTGCTTTTTAATTTAAATATTTACAACACTGTGATTTTTAAATTTGTGTAACTTATTGCGTGAATTTTGACAATATATACCAAAATTTATTTTGATAATATTTTAAAGAGAGTAAAGAGACTACTTTTGACAAAACCTGAAATTTGAATGTGTGTGCATTTACTACAAACATATTTAAGTTATATGAAATAGAATTAATTTGCAATGCTAATTAAGATATATATTACGCGTATAAGGTACGGTATAGCCTTTCAAAATATTGTTTTTAATTTCTCATTCAGTCATTTGTACCCTCACTATATTCATTTAATAATATTTTTGGTGATAATAAATGTTTCTTTTTGTCGCATTGAAATTAAAGCCAATAAAAAGTTAAAAACCAGGCCAATTTATCCTAAAGAAACATTAGAGTTCAATATACACGGAAGATAAAGGTAAAGGATGCACCCTTGTAGTATACCCTTTTCCAATTATTTACGCTAACAAATTAAACAATTATATACAGAGGGAATTATTAATATATACGGAGTACATATAAAGAATGGATATATACCTGGGGTATTCTGATTTGAGTATGATCTTCTGGCCATATTTCCTCCATGCACCACCATCTTCCATTGTTTTGGATATATTAGTCCATGTCTCCTCAGAATTTCTAAACGAATTAGCAAGTAATTAATAAATTAAAAAACCCTTCTTTGTAATATTTGTTCACGAGAAAAATACACAGCGTCAGTTTCATTCGTTAATAATCGAGATAATTGCCCTAGATATGATCAAAACTCAACCTGTTTTCCAATCTATGACCTAATCAGTTTTTTTACCAAAATAATATTAAAAATCATAATATTTATTTAAAATTCGTAATTAATAAATAATAAATAATTTATATGGACAAATATACCCTTTACCTTATACCTATAAAACCCTAACCTCCTATTCCCTTTCTACAACCCAACCTTCTCGCCATTCAACCTTCTCCTGCCGTCTAGCCACCGCCCACCATCCAGCGCCGCCACCTTCAACAGAACTCCGGCCTGGGATCCAAGTTACCGAGGCAGAAGCAACGTGGCTTGCTGAGGTAGATGTCCGCCGGATCTGGGTGCCAAGGCGCCGCCCCCTGACCTGCGTAATGTCTGCCGCCGTCCAAAAGCCCGATCGGCGGCCACCAGTACAACCAATCGTTTGGTTGACCGGCTACCCCTGGCCTCACGTCTTCTCATCGCATCCACCGACCAAACCGCCGTTAGAGGCAACCGCTGTCCCGAACCATGGGCACCGCCGCTCAGCCGCCCGCCATCTTCTCCTGGATCCGTCGATGGAGTACATGTCCGAAAACGTAGTAGGGAGTTGGGAGTGCGGCGCAGGCAATTGGATGTAGGTTAATTCGGTGAAAAGGGTTTGTACTTGTTTGTTACGTGAAGATGGCCCACTGCTCTAGATTGGCTAATTGCTTTGGGCCTTTGGCCATCTATTCTTATTTTTGCATTTTTAGTTTTAAAAATTAGGAGTTTTTAAATTAGGGTTTATGGCATTAAATATGCGCAGTGAAGATGGGCAGTGAACATCATAGCAGATATTTTAGAGTATGGTGAGTAATTTAGGGTTTGTGGACCGTTAAATATTGGCATTGGACATTGTCAGTGAACATGACAATAAGTTTTGAATATGACAGTGAATACAACAATATATATGTTGTACATGGCATTGAATAAATGCATGAATGAAGCTTGTTGTGCAATGATTATGATCGGTAGTGCAACAACACAAAGCAGTAATTTCACCGTGAAACGCAATATACTTAATCAGACGTAAAATAATAAAACTACTAAATCTAAAAAAAATAAAAAATATAACTAATAATAATAATTTCCTAAAGTGAATTAGAAGAGAATTAATTTTGGCAGAAGCGCAGTGATTATTAGCAAATGCACAGTAATGTAGTGCATTAATGTCGTGCATTGAAGACAATATAAAGTGCAGTAATTTTAATTGGATGAAATTAGTGCAAAATGCACATATTTTTAATAAGGGTATTTTTGTCATTCAATATTTAAATATAAACGAATTTTCTGTTTATTTTTGGATTTTCGGTCATACAAATGTATAAAAACTAGTTAGGTCATAGATTGACAAACTGATTGAGTTTTAGTCATATCCCGGTAAATTTCCCTTAATAATCGTTACATATATATCGAATTCAAATTAGATTTCAAAACTCCTCAATTTTGATCATATCATATAGTAAATCAACTTCTTATTCTTATTAGGGAGTACTGTTTTGTACATTCAATAGTTTTTAAAGAGATAATTTGACTTTACACTTCATGTTTTAAATAATGTTTGACTTTGAACTCTATCTTCACCTTATTAATTCCATTAAGAATAAGGATGATGATGATTCAACTTATGGAGTTTTAGTGAACGATATTAGAGTGCTATCGGCTAATTTTACCAGTATCAATTTTGATCTGGACCATGACCTCATTAAAACTATCGTATGAGCTAATTTGTTTGCTTTAAAGAAAAAATTAAAGGATTAGTACTTAAAAAACAAAATGGTTATTCTAACCTTTTGTTGTACCGCCCTGTCCGGGCCTTCTTAGAGTTGAAATTTTGCTGATCGGAACACGCTTGCATTGGGTTGCCGGAGTCCGCCGAACCGGCGGTGATCGGGTAAACCGGAGGAGCGACGCCGTAGGAGGTGAGGTCAAAGATGGCTTGAGTGAAAGATCTGCCGATTTCGAGCGTAAGCTGGGCGAAACTGTTGAACCGGTCATCTCCGAGCCGATTTCGGTTCAATACGGCTTGGAGCTCCGTCGCAGATGCTTTCCCTTTCATAAGCTCTGCAACTACTCTTTTCCGGCATACTCGTGGACTCTCCGGTTTGTCCATTTCCGGCCGACGCGGTGAAATTTGAGGAAGCTAAGTAGAAAGGTTTTTGGAAAAACTATACGTATGATTATTGGTCGATGGATTTTCGATCCTTTTTCTACATTTTTGAAGCTTTATAGATAAATAGATGACTCGTGGTGATGACATAGTTCAATCACTCGAATGACCTCTGGAATCACGTCATCATTGAGCCAATTCCCGGTTTCTTTTCCCACAAACAAAATCATTTTTTGTTTATAAGCCGCCACTATTTCATAGCGCCGGATTTGGGATTATGTAAAGCGCAATGGGAATGCATTATGTTGGGGTTTGATACTTTGATTCCCTGTTATCTACTACGTATGTTTGTTTTGAGTTAAAATGTTTTTACTTGACTGTAATTTGTCCCAGACCAAACTAGACCAGATCAGACCAGACCAGACCAGATCAGACTAGACCAGATCAGACTTGGGTAGTTATAAATATACAAAGAAACCAGACCATACCAGACCAACTGTCTAGACCAGACCAAACCAGATCAGATCAGACCAGACCAGCAAATTACAGTTCAAGTAAAAACATCCTTAAATTACTGCCCCCGTTCTTAAATAAATGCAACACTTTGACTTTTACATTATTCACATGTTTTACTTTAACTACGTTTTATTTATTAATGTAATAATATTATTTTATGAAAAAAATATTGTTAAACTTGTCTCATTGTAAATTTTCATAATCTAATTTTTTTAATTTTTTTACTAATACAAAATCATTTATATTAATGGTCAAAGTTGTGTCTCGGCAAGTGTGAAATGTTGACTTTTGCATTTATTTAAGAACGGAAGAAGTATTTAATTGTAACTTAGAGTTCCTTTGATAATCCATGTTTTCCGTTTGTTAGTTCAATCAGTCAAATTTTGTATTAAACTATGAAACTTTTAGTTGCGTGCGCTAAATTCGTTATAATAATAAAAATATGATTGTGATTATTTTAGCCGCCGGGTTGTTTGAATATGATGAAGTCTAGTTCAGCTGTTTCTGTCAATATACTCCCTCTGTCCCAAAAACAACTTCCCACTTTCCTTAAATGGATGTCCCAAAATTAACTTCACACTTCAATACTTTTCTTATTTGGCAAATTATCTACATCAAAAAAGTGATACACAGTGCCAAACAGTGTTTAAACAGTGTCAAACAGTGTTTAAACAGTGTTAAACAGTGTTTAAACAGTGCAAAACAGTGCACTCTACAGTAAAGTCATATTTATTTTCTAAAAGTGTGTGAAAGTCAAATCGGGAGGTTGTTTTCGGGACGGAGGGAGTATTAAGTAGTACTTGTACGTAGTAACTCTCAATCACGTTGACAAATTCAAAAGTACGTAACATATGGCTAAAAATAAAGTTTGTGCTATGTTAGGATGTTTTTACTTGGACTGTAATTTGTCCCAGACCAGACCAGACCAGACCATTCCAGACCAGACCAGTTCAGACCAGACCAGACCAGACCAGACTTGGATAGTTATAAAAATACAAAGAAACCAGACCTTACCAGACCAGACCAGACCAATTCAGACCAGACCAGACCAGATCAGACCAGACCAGACCAGACCAGCAAATTACAGTCCAAGTAAAAACATCCTTAAACTTCCAAGCACTTTCAAAATTTTGCATTTTGCCTTTTAGCCTGTATGCATACGCGCTTACATATTTTTTTGTTAAAGATGAGAAGAAAAAGGAAAAGTTACCCATTCAAGTTTTCAACCACTTTGATCTTCTACTAATTCTGGTCATTAGCCCAAACATTTTAATCATATTGTACACTGTATCTTTGAATATTTGCTCATTTGTGTAGTGGAGTATTTATTACTTTTGAATAGATTGATCCATGTTTATTTGTGCATACAAATAAAAGGCATTCTAATTTCAACTGCTCAATATTTACGGAGTCTCATTTAAAAGGCATTCTAATTTCATATGGTAGGAAAATAATTTATTTGGAGTATTGAAGAAGTGGTAGTTTGAACTTTGGACTTTGGAGCCTATTTTTTGTCAAGAGATATGGTTTGAGTGGATGACACCCAATCATTAAAATATTCCTTTTGTGAGTTGAAGACTTGATTTCAAACCCAGAAGGTTAATTGGGAAGAGAGAATATAGAACTTAAACTCGTTTATTTTCCAAAAATAGGATCAACTAGTTTAAATTTCCTTATGGTTAATTGGGAAGAGAGAATATAGAACTTAAACTCGTTTAAACAAAAAAAATCTAGACGCTTATTATTATAAGTTATAGGGAAAACTGTCAAATAGGTCCTCGAACTTTCATAAAAAGGTCAATTAAGTCCTTCTATAGGAGGTTCTGTCCGGCCGTCGAGATTTGGGGCATTTCACGGTGGAATTTTTTGATGAAATTTTTTGAGCATCTTATTCACCAAGTCTAGTTTACTCATATCAAATTTCAGCTAAAAATTCAATCGGGAACACATTCAAATTAATTCTTGAAGATAGCTGCGCATTTTTGCGTTCTCGAATTAATTTGAATGTGCTCCCGATTAAATTTTTAGCTGAAATTTGGTATGAGTAAACTAGACTTGATGAATAAGATGCTCAAAAACTTTCATCAAAAAATTCCAATGGGAACCGTCCCAAATCGCGATGACCGGACAGAGTCTCCTATAGAAGGACTTAATTGACTTTTTTATGAAAGTTCGAGGACCTATTTGACAGTTTTTGTGACACCGCACCCGAATGTCCTTGGAGATTTGATTTAAATATTCAAAGTTTATGTATTGGATTTCCGGTTCCCAAACAATTGTAAAACGATTTATGTTCTACGTAATTAATGATCGAATATTGTACTCTTCGAACTCGTATATTAGTGTCGGACACACGGATACTATTTGGGACTTATTAATAGATAAAGGAGCCCAACATTTTCTAAATAGTAATATTTGACCTTTCAAGACCAATTGAGGAAGGTCGGGTGGCCCAAACGTTATTTTGGGCCCAACCTGCTAAAAATAGCAAGTATTCAAGAATGGCGTTCTAGACCCACTCGGGAGTGACCCACACGGCTAGTAGCCCAATAATATGTATGACAAATGTCAAATAAGTGATAGAATGATTCAAGAAGAATACAAATGCCTATAACCCCATCTTCGGCATTATTGAGCTAAATAATGGGAGTAGGGTTTTTCTTCTATAATATTCATCATGTAAATTATTGGGATGATCATACACATATTGGAGATCAATAATATGATGTAGAGGGTTGACTTGTTCCAAATAAATTAGAATGAGTACAAAGAGACATCTTATGACAAAGAGATCAAAAGTGAGACCCACCCATGTCTAAAAACATCTCATGGAGACCATACCAATTCATTTCACTCCACACAACTTATCCACCCCTATTGAAGGGTCTTGGACACTCCCTTAAGCCCCTCATTCGAACTCCCAAGGATAAGGGAGAAGGAGAGAGCCACACAACCAAGAAAGCAAGAGAAAGGGGAAGCTGCCGCAGGTTCGTTCTCCAGTGCGTAAGGTTACTTGTTTGCTTCATATCTCGAGTTATACACATCCAAATAAGGCGTGCGAGATACCCACAGAAAGCTCTCAAGACGAGGAATCCGTGAAGGTCTGGTTTGCATCAATCGGAGTAGTGGAAGGCTTCCAAATCGTCCGAGCAAAGCACAACCTCGCAGAATACGTTTTTGTGTTCAAAGTAAGTTTGAATCCAAAACCTTCCTCTCTATTGTCTAAACCATATAAATGATTGAAGAACTATTATACACTGATTGAAGTGTATAAAATGTTATTATAAAGTGACTTTAATTGTTGGAAAAGTTAGATACTAATCTAGACAAAACCTTGAAAGGTTAGGGAACGATTTCGTCGGGAAACACCCGTTCTAGGGACTGTTTTGTGTGTCTTCGGTTAGGAGTTGAACTAGCACTTTGAAGAGGTTGTTTAACACTCAATTCCAAGCAAGGAATCAGTCCTCAATCTTCCTTGGCCGAGGCTTTGGTCATTGGATCGAGAAGGAAAGTTTTAAAGCTCATTTGAGGTGAGGACCGACATCTAGTTGCTTACAACTTGTAGGTTATGCATAAGATTACCTAAATGTTTGAATCATGTTTTTGTGAATAAATATGCTTGAACATGATATGAATGATAAGTAATGGACTTGATCACGAATTGAAACCATATTGATGAATATGGAGTTATGTGAGATAAAAGTATGTTAATATGGTAAAATGACCTTTCCAACTCATGTATGAATGTTATGTGTATGTAAATGTATAATTGCATGATGATGCTTAGCACATGGGAGGCTGCCACATATCTATTGATATGGAGGGGCTACCATTAAGAATAAATGAGTTGTAGGAATAATCTTAATAGTATTGTGATGCTAGTTAAGGATTGTTCTAAATGTCGATAGAATCAAACTTAAGGTTTGAGTTGTTTGTGATGAACTTGAATAAGATTCAAGTGTCAAGTGTGATTTCATGGAGTAGGAGATCTATGGTGTGATTGTATGAAGTAGGAGATCTATGGTGTGATTGTATGAAGTAGGAGATCTATGGGGTGAATACATGAAGTAGGAGATCTATGATATGATTACATGAAGTAGGAGATCTATGATGCGAGTGCATGATGATGTACTCGAGCCAAACTCTAGAAATGAGAAGTTATATTAGGGTTGGACCCTACGTATGTCGTGACCATTAGTCACGGGGTTTTGGGAAATGTTTTGTAATAAACATGGGCCTTTGAGCCGACTACTTGACTTATATAAAGTAAGTATATATTTTGAAGGGGTAATTTGGGATTAAAGCCTAAACTATATTATCACCCTATTTGAGGGTCTTGTGTGTGAAATACTTGTTGTATATCTATTAGATGCCTGCCACACCAGTACTTTATAGCCGTATAGAGTACTGACCCCTTCGGGGGCGTCCCACCACCATTTCAGGTTGAGGCTAGAGCTTGCATCCTGTGCTCGTTGATCGAGTGATTCCTAGGAGAGAAGACTTGGTTCGTGCTTCCTCCATTCCATTTGAAACATTAATAAAATTGCTCATGGATATTTTACTATAGAGCCTGCGTGCTCATGAAATGCCTTGTGTGGCCTTCTCGTTTTAGACAATGTTTTCCGCTGCGTTATGAATTACTTATTATGTTTGTTTATGGATGTATACATGTGAATGATATTCAAGACGCCTTGTATAATATGAATATGTTGGACTGCGGTTGACTATTCGTATTGTACGGCGGATTGTCGACGTGTCCGGGGAGGTCCGGGGCGTGACAGTTTTC